CGGATTTCCGCTGGAATTGGGAATTTTGGGAATTCCCTGAAGTTTCCAGCGGGAATTTGGGAAGATTTTGGGAATTTTTGGGGTTTTTTTGGGGCAGGTTTGTGAGATCATCGAGAGCCCCCTGTTCCTGAAACTGAACCCCATGACCAAACACACCGACGTGAGTTTGGGGTGAAAAACGGGGATTTTGGGAAAAAAACCACAAAATTTGGGGGAAAAAATCACAAATTTTGGGGGAAAAAACTCAGAATTTGGGGAAAAACTCACAAATTTGGGGACAAAATTTGGGGGGAAAACTCCAAAATTTGGGAAAAAAACCACAAAATTTGGGGGAAAAATCACAAAAATTGGGGAAAAAATTACAAAATTTGGGGGAAAAATCACAAACTTTGAGGAAAAAACCACAAAATTTGGGGGAAAAACTCCAAAATTTGGGGGAAAAACTCCAAATTTTGGCGGAAAAATGACAAATTTGGGTGGAAAAATCACAAATTTTGGGAAAAAACCTCAAATTTTGGGGGAAAAATCACAAAATTTGGGGAAAAAAATCACAAAATTTGGGGAAAAACTCCAAATTTTGAGGTGAAAACTCCAAATTTTGGGAAAAAAATCCCAATTTTTTGTGAAAATTCACCAATTTTGAGAATTAATTCTGAAATTTTGGGGTAAAACCCTCAATTTTGAGAAAAAAAACCCCAAATTTTTTTGGAAAAATCCCCAATTTTAAGGGAAAATCCCCAAATTTTTCGGAAAACTTCCAAATTTTTGGGAAAATTTCCCAATTTTGGGGGGAAAAATCCACGAATTTTTAGGAAAAAACCACAAAACCTTTGGAAAAACCCCAAATTTTGGTGTGAAAAACCCAAATTTTTGGGAAAAAAACCCAAATTTTTGGGAAAAACCCCAAATTTTTAGGAAAAAACCCCAAATTTTTGGGAAAAAACCCCAAATTTTGGGGAAAATCCCGATTTTCCTCCCCTTTTGCCAATTTTTGGGTGCCCAAAATCGGGGATTGACGCCTCCCCTCCCCCCCAGCTCCCCGTGAGCGTCTTCGAGTCCGTGATCGACATCATCAACGGAGAGGTGAGGGCAGAAATCCGGGAATTCCACGGAATTCCGGGAATTCCGGGACTTTGGGGGGATTTGGGGGGGTTTGGGGATTTTTGGGATTTTTTTGGGATTTTTTTGGGATTTTTTGGGGGTTTTTTATGGAATTTTTTGGGATTTTTTATGGAATTTTTTATGGAATTTTTATGGAATTTTTGGTGTTTTTTATGGAATTTTTTGGGGTTTTTATGGAATTTTTGGGGATTTTTTATGGAATTTTTGGAAATTTTTTATGGAATTTTTGGGGTTTTTTTATGGAATTTTTGGGGGTTTTTTATGGAATTTTTTGTGATTTTTTATGGAATTTTGGGGGGTTTTTTATGGAATTTTTTGGGATTTTTTAAGGAATTTTGAGGGATTTTTGGGGAGTTTTTTATGGAATTTTTTGGCGGTTTTTTATGGAATTTTTTGGGGTTTTTAAAGGAATTTTTTGGGGATTTTTTATGGAATTTTTTGGGGGTTTTATGGAATTTTTGGGGGTTTTTTAAGGAATTTTTTGGGGTTTTTATGGAAGTTTTTGGGGATTTTTTATGGAATTTTTGGGGATTTTTTATGGAATTTTTTGGGGATTTTTTATGGAATTTTTTTTGGTTTTTTATGGAATTTTTGGGGTTTTTTTATGGAATTTTTGGGGTTTTTTTGTGGAACTTTTTGGGGTTTTTTATGGAATTTTTGGGGGTTTTTTAAGGAATTTTTTGGGATTTTTTATGGAATTTTTGGGGATTTTTTATGGAATTTTTGGGGGTTTTTTAAAGAATTTTTTGGGATTTTTTGTGGAATTTTTGGGGTTTTTTATGGAATTTTTTGGGGTTTTTTATGGAATTTTTTGGGATTTTTTAAGGAATTTTGGGGGTTTTTTAAAGAATTTTTGGGGGTTTTTTGTGGAATTTTTTGGGGTTTTTATGGAATTTTGGGGGATCTTTTGGGAGTTTTTTATGGAATTTTGGGAGGTTTTTAATGGAATTCTTGGGGATTTTTTATGGAATTTTTGGGGATTTTTTTATGGAATTTTTGGGGTTTTTTAAGGAATTTTTTTGGATTTTTTGTGAATTTTTGGGAATTTTTTGGGAGGTTTTTTATGGAATTTTTTCGGATTTTTTATGAAAATTTGGGAGATTTTTTATGGAATTTTTGGGTTTTTTTATGGAATTTTGGGGGTTTTTATGGAATTCTGGGGAGTTTTCCTGGGATTTTGGGTTTTTTTGGGGATATTTGGAGTTAAATTTTTATCATTTTTTGGCCATTCTGAGCCCTTTTCTCCCCGGGATTTTCCCCCTGGGAATTTTTGGGCCGGGAATTTTGGGAATTTTGGAATTTTGGGGAATTTTGTGTCCAATTCTCCCATTTTTGGACCATTTTATCCCAAACCCCTCCCCATTTTTATCATTTTTTGGCCATTCTGAGCCCTTTTCTCCCCGGGATTTTTCCCCCCGGGGGTTTTTGGGGTCGGGAATTTTGGGAATTTGGGAATTTGGGGGAATTTGGGGAATTTTGGATCCAAATTTTTCCATTTTTGGACCATTTTATCCCAAACCCCTCCCCATTTTTATGGATTTTTATCATTTTTTGGCCATTCTGAGCCCTTTTCTCCCCGGAATTTTTCCCCCGGGGGTTTTTGGGGCCGGGAATTTCGGGAATTTGGGGAATTTTGGGATTTTTTGGGAATTTCCCCAGGCCACCATGCTGTTTGC